GTCGTGGTAGTTAGGTTACTCTAGGACCTTGTGTATGTATAGGAATTTTAGAATCAGCTTATCTGTTTCCATACAAAGGTGCTGGGATTTTGGTGGATTGCATTACATCTGCAGGTGCATTTGGAAGAGTTGGCATGTTAACCGCTGGCTTCCCCAACCTGTGAGCAAGGCCTGGTAAAGCTCTTTGCTTTGCGTCTCCCTTCGCATTTCTCAGCTGTGCTTGTAGTTTTCAGTATTTGCTAGGATGAGTTGAAGTTCATTATAACAGCGTTTGTGTTGTACAGACAGCTGCACGTGCTAGAACATGAATTGGGTCAGAAGCTTCATCTTTAGCTAACTGTGTAGAAATGCAGTAATGTCACTGCCCCTCACCCTTGAGCAACAGCATTTCCTCCTGGGCTGTTCTTGCTTTGAGCCTTGAATTGTCCCCTGTACAGCACATGAACGTGAAAACATTGAGCTTTACAGCAGTAAACAGGTTTTGAAAGAACGATGCCCTGCAAGCACAGATGCCCCCTTAAGGAAACAGGATGAGCCTTCGAGGAGAGCAGAGCCCCTGATCCTGGTCGGGGGGACTTACACCCGAGGCCATGCCCCAGCACGCTGGGGGGTCCTGCACCACTGTCTGGTGGCACTGCAGGAACCCAGGGGCAGTTTTCCAGAAATGATGGTCAGCTTTGTGCAGTTTGTGGACAAGTGTGGGGAGCAGAGCCGCCGAAGTGCGGTGAAGCTGTGACACTGAGTGGCTGCTCTTGAAGGACTGGCCCCTGGGACCACGTGTGGACCCTTTGGAGCCAGCACCCCAGCAGCACAGTTGGGTGCAGTGGGTGCGTGCTGTCCCCTCCACGCGTAGACCTGGGAGGTGGGGTGCCGTGCCAGCACACAGGAGCCCCGCCCGCACGCATGTCTGCCCCCTGCACGCCCCCCTCCCCCTTCTGGAGTCACAGTTTCCCCGTGGCTTTAAAAGGGAGAGAGCCACAAGTGGAAAAGGAACAGTTGGGCCGTGGTTTACGTCAGCTTCACCAGGTCCACATTAGCTGTTGTGTGGCTGGAGGGCCTGGGGCTGTTACCCTGGGCTCCTGGGCCCCAGGGACGTTCCTCCTCCTTCTCTGGCCACAGCCCGGGGCCGGCAGGTCCCTGGCCCTCCTCACCCTTTCCAGGCCCTTCCTTGCGGTTCCAGATCGCGATGTGGTGTGCAGCAGTCAGAAATGAAGTCTCCAGCTGTGTTTCAGACTGAGCTTTGTCCCCTTTCTCGGCTCCTGTCCTCAGATTCTGCTTTCGGGGGACAGTTTCATTTTGCATATGGTTAATTGTGGAGGGCTTTGCCTTTTGAGTCTTTGTGGACTCCCCTCATGGTCTGACAGGTGACTGCACTGGAGACCCTTGAGGCGGTGAGGGTGAGGGAGGAGGTCTGGTCCCCCTGACCCAGGCGACCGTTCCCTGCTCCTGTCATCACAGTTCCAGCCATTCCCCCGAGGGAGGTGCCCTCGCAGGCCCATGTGTGGAGTGCTGTGGCCTGCCAGGTTGCGGGGCATGGCGTGAAGCCCACAGCTCCCAGTCCCCAGCGCCCGAAGGTTGTGCGGAGGAGCGTTCCCCTGAAGTGATGTCTTCCAGGTGGAGGTTCCCAGGCGAGTCCAAAAATGCCTGTGTAATTTGTAGTGTAGCTTTGGCTGACCTACATTTTGGTTAAAAATACAGTAAAAAAGTGTTGGTATGAAAGGGATCACGGAAACTGTAACACTGGGTAAAAACCTTGAGTTTATCTTAAACTCTGTGCTTGAGGAAGGATAGGATTCATTCTAAAGAGCTGCAGTCCAGTGCTGAGTGGCGGGGATGGCACACGTGGGGTGCCCCGGCCTTCCACATAGGCGGTGCCAGGGTCTTGTGCGGCTGAGCGCGGGAGGCCCGGGGCTCTGCCAGACAGTGGCCTTTGGAACTGCCGGCAGGGCGTTCATGCTGCACATGGTAATTTTAAAATCTGAGCTTTCACAGCAACGAAACCCAGAAAATAGCCCAATAGCCTAACCAATAAAGAAATTATACATTTGTCTTGGATGAAGTATTATGTAGCTACTGAAAACTGTGCTTTTGAAGAATGTTCAATAACACGGAAATTGACTTGTGATACAAGCAGTGAGGGGAAGAAAATGCCACGGCCTGTGTTCTCGTCACCGCTGTCCGAACACACGTCCTCCACGTGCACAGTGACCGGAGGGCACTTACTGGGCAGATTTCTGTTGTCCTTGTACGTCTCTGAATTTTCAAGTCCGCTACACAGACCCGCTGTTCTCAGCAAGGTGTTACAATGATTAAAACAGAACAGCTGAGTTCTGTCTGCTTGATCGGGGTGGTTAGGGTTAGGGTAACAGCCCCAGGCCCTCCTGCCACACCGCAGCTAAGGTGGACACTGGCGGCTTGTGCGGACAGGCTGGGTTTGGCTCCTGTGTGTCCTGAACAGAGGGGAGGCCCATCCGTGGCTCCTGACCCTGCCCGCGAACTGCCTTTGGGGATTGGCCACCTTGGCTGGACAGGCTCTGAAGGGTTGTTTGAAATGGAAGGTGTGTTTTTGGTGTCAGGGGTCTGACGAAGAAGCCCGCCGTGTGCAGTCCTGCTCTTGGCTGCTGGGGTGTGTGTGGGGGGGAGTGTGCTTTGGATGCGTCTATGAAGGAGGACACTGGTGTGTCAGGCAGCCCATCTGTAAGGGGGAGTGGGCCACACCCGCGGGAGCCCTTCCCTGAGCCCATCTTGCACCTGCAGAGGGGTGGGGAGGGGTTGGCCTCCTGGTGCCGACTTTGAAACAGAGTTCTGTTTCTTGGCCTTTGCAAGAAGAGACACTGCACAGCAGCTTCTCTGTGTGAAATGAGTGGTTACAGTGGGAGTTTACAAGATCTGGGACTGTGATAATGTCATTAAATGTGGCGTTTGACGCCCTGTGATGCAGCTGTCAGTGTAGTGATTAGGGTCGGGCTGTCGTGCTTTCCGCCTGATCAGTGGCTGCAGCGCAGCGTAGCCGGGAAGACCAGGGAGACCGGGGAGCCCGTCCCCATGCGCATGTGGCCTTCCCTTGGCCTCCGGAGCTGCAGGGCTGCTCCCAGGGTCTTGGGCATCTGGGGCCCCGGCAGGTGGCCGTGCGGCCGTGTTAGAGCAGCTGCGTCTCCTTCTCTCCAGTTGCGTCTGTCACTCTCACCTGTGTCCACTTACGTGCCCACTCGGACATACGTTGAGTGCTGACCTGAGGTGAAGTTACCTGCTTAGGGTCTCGGGGTCACTTCCTTCTCAGATGTCGGTTGTCACCGCGGGCACGCTGCATGGCGGGCGGCATGCAGCCTCAGCTTCATTCGCGCGTTAGCCACGTTGCTATTTCATGAGTATTTAAGTCTTCCGTTAAGTTTCTCTGGAAGGAATGCTTTCAGCAGAAAAGCACCTGACCGTTGAAGCACGTTCATCCACTGCCGTATTAACCAGCTTGAAGCTGGGGCGCTAAGTCACAGGTGCCTTACTGTCCTCCTTGCTCCTCCGTGGCATCAGCAACTGGCTTCCCAGAGTCCTCACGGGGAAGGAGCGGGGTCTCTGCATGGAAGGGTGACTGGTGACGACGAGGGAGTGGTGGGTTTGAGAGATTGGCATCAGGAGGAGTTGACCCGGTGTGCTCGTTTGGGGTCCCCAGTGTGCTCACGGCCTCCCAGGTCTTGGAGATTTTAGCAGAGTGGGTTATTTGCAGCAGCTGGTTTTTGTTTTGTTTTGTTTTTAAATTTCAGCGTGCTTTATTGTAAAAGGGACGTTTTGGAGGGAAGCTTACTTACTGGGCATAAATGTGGTTCCTTTGAATTAGGGCTTGTAGCTGTAAGCCCAGGGAGAGGCTGTTCTGTTCCCATGTCCTGCTGGCTGTCAAAGGAGCCAGGACCCAGAGGTTCAGGGGCTCCTCGTCACTTCCTGGAGTGGCTCAAGCTCCTGTTTGGTTCAGGAGGGAATACCCTGATGCTCCTTGGTGTGAGGCTAACAGGAGGTTCTCGGCCAGCCCTCCCTCCTTGGAGAGAACCACCTTCGGTCCAGTCCGTGGGAGGCCAGTCTGCGCGCGGTGGAGATGCCTCCTTTCCCGCTGGAGTGTCGCAGCCCTGGGCTTCTGCTGGGGCCTTGTGTGAGCGCGAGTGTGCTGTCTGTTACTCACTTTGTCCGGGGAAATGTGAGAGTTAGACACTAAAATAGGTTGTTTCTAGTGGAATCTACGACATAATTGGTTGCTGGTTCTTGAAGCTAAAATTAATGCCAAATCTGACTGATTGGACTTACTTTCCAGCGATTTAGCTCCAGCACTGCGAGGTGTGAGTGGGTGTCACTGTCTCTGTGTGGTGGGTGTCCCAGGTTAGCCGCGGGCATGGTGCTGCCCCCACCCCCGAGAGGGGACTCATGTTCCCAGGAGGACTGCTTGCTTCGGGCTTCACAAGACCCCAGGCCGTGGGCACACTGTGTCTCCCACGTCCCAGTCCAGGAGAAGTGGTGGGGTGGAGAGGCCAGGCTGCCCACCTCCAGGGACGAGGAGTGGGGCCGGGGGCCGAGTGACACCTGCCGCCCTAGGAACCTGGCCAAGGCCGGGAGTGGTGGTGGGAGTGCTTGGCAGCGTGGTGGGGACAGTGCCTGGCCATGGGGCCCTGTGCCTGGCTTCCTCCCCAGGGGGGTGCGTGGCCCTCCCTGCAGGCCAGTGCAGGTGGCCGTGGGGCAGGTGGTGTGGCCTGCAGAAGCTTTGCTGCCTGGCTGACTTCTGAAAGGAAGACTCACCTACTGCTTGAATCCCGTGGAGAAAACCTTGTGTGCTTTCCCGCCTTGGATGCTGTCTTTATTGGCAAGTGTGTTTCGAGTTCAGAGACTCTGCCTGTCTTACAGCTTCTCCTTTCTTCTCAGAGACGTCAGGCTCCCCAGTGATAGGGTCAGCGCCTTCACTGGCCGTGTGTGTGTGGGGGAGGGGGGCACGTCTCCTGATGCCAGGTCTCCTTTATCCCCAGGTATGGTCCTCGTGCGGAGTGAGAACGGGCAGTTGTTAATGATTCCTCAGCAGGCCCTGGCCCAGATGCAGGCCCAGGCCCACGTGCAGACCCAGCCTCAGACCACCATGGCGCCCCGCCCTGCAACCCCCACAAGTGCCCCTCCCGTCCAGATCTCTACCGTACAGGTGAGTGCACGCGTGCCGGGCAGTGGCGGCCCGTGGGGTGTCCGGCAGGTGTCCTGTGAGGGCGGAGAGGGGCGGCCACATGCCGCCCACCATCGGGAGGCTCTGAGGAGCTAGCTCTGCATCCATGCTCAGTGAAACTCTGGCTTGGTTCCCTGGACTCCGTCCTGTCTCTTCCCTCTTCTCCCATGACTCCACCCCCTGTGCCTCAGTCTCCTCTTCTGCAAAGTGGACCCTGCGTATGTTAGCTCTTCCTGTTGGGGAGGCGTGTGGGAGCATCAGGAGATTGTGTGAACATGTGGTTAGACCGTTGGGACTTAGCTCAGGGATCTCTCCCCAGAGATCAGGGCTGGGGAGCGGTTCCCCTGTGCTGGCGCATCTTGTTCACATCCCAGCTTCTGCTACCCGCACCTCCTCTGTCTCCCGGTGCCTTTCTGCCTGGTGCCATAAGTGTTGTCCTGACTGGTTGGCCAGCTAGTCACTGAGGTGGAGACTGGCAGGGGCTTGACATTCCTGTGATGTCAGCTGTGTCCCTTGTGGAGGCGAAGGCCCGCACTGTAGACAGAGGCCTTGGTTGGGCTAGGAGACCCACATGGCGCCCCCTTCTTGAATATCCAGGACAGCTCAGAACAGTGTGCTCAAGGCCCGTGGGGCTGTGTGAAGTGAGGTGCAGACAGAAGACAACCTGTGGTGTCACTTGTGCGTGTTACCGTCTGACCACCAGCGCCACCTTGCTCGGGACTCGCGCCGTCTTTCCATCGGCTTGAGGTGTCAGTGGGCTACCTGGCCACTCCTTTACTTCCTCTTCCGCAGCACCGTGACCCATCTCTGCACCCAGGGGATGCATGCTGCCTCATTTTTTTAGTGCTGTGAACAAGAGCACGAGAAATGCGCACAAGGACTGATTCCCAGATACTCGCGTTCTTTAAAGACCTTGTTTGTAGCCTTGGGTGAAGAAGCCTAGTGATAGCTTTATTACAGTACATACGTATTTTGATCCTACACTTTTCCTCTGGTAAGAAAAGCTTAGAATTGGGATGGCTTTGTTGATGACTGTAGCTTGAGGCCTGATGCGCCGGACAGAGTGTCCGGGTCTGTACCAGGGGTTTGATTTCGCTGCGCCGGGTGGTGGGGAGTTATTGTCACTCGTTGCTCCTTTTAGATGATGCTTGCTTATTTTTCAGGCACCTGGGACCCCTATTATTGCACGACAGGTGACCCCAACAACCATAATCAAGCAAGTGTCTCAGGCCCAGACGACGACGGTACAGCCCACCACGGCGCTGCAGCGCTCACCCGGAGTGCAGGTGAGGTGGCCGTGGGTGCGGCACACTCCCATGTACAGGGGAACTTCGCGGGCTGGGGTGCTGGGTGCTAAGCTGGGCTTTGGGAGGAAGGCGTCCGGAAGACAGTGTTTCTCTGACTGCTGACACAGGACCGCTCAGGCTTCCCTTTCTTTAAAGCCATGTGGATTTTCATACCAGCAGCATGTTTAAAAGTTTCCCACTCTGCTGGAAGTGTAATCAGAAATGTCACCTTGTTGATACTTGATTGAAAGGCGTCTGTGAAGCAGAGGGTGTGGCACCCATCGACCTGTCAGTGCTGGGACGAGGATGGGGGTCCCTTCTGAGAACGGGGCTCCCACTGCTTGTGTGCGCCATTGGGTGGGATTCTCACACCCTCTTCCTGCGAGGCACAGACAAGTGAGGGGTTGGGGCTTCCGGAACTGGCCTCAGGGCCTGCGTGCTGGCCACCTGGCTGCCCTGCCTCCCCCGCGGCCAGTGCCCTTTGCCAGGAACGAAGCCCAGGTCCAGAGACGTTACCTGTCAGCCTGTTGGGGTTGGTGTGCATGTTTGATCTTAAAATGGTGTCTTCATCTGTGGGAAGGAGAGTGCTCTGGAGCAGGCTCTGCGCCTTCTTGGTGGGTTGTTTGGCTAGTGCCAACGGCTCAGCGTCTGGTCTGGAAAGCTGAGAAGAGCGGTCGTGCACAGGCGCGGCTGGCCCCTTCTCTTAGAGGGGAGGGGACCCCCTGGTCGGGGCAGCAGGTGGCTCTGGGCAGCGCGGTCGGGGCAGCTGGAAGGAATGGGGTTCCGAGCTGTTCTGTTCTTCAGGTGTTTGTGCATGTCTGTCACGAATGCCCAGCGTGGGCCTCTGTGTGCTGGGCACCTGCCGGGAGCCGGGGGGCGCTGCCAGCAATGCTCATTGTCCTGCAGCCTCCACCGCGGTTTTGGGGGTAGGCACTGTTCCAGTTACCCGGAGGAAGTGGAGGCCGAGAGTCGCACGGGGTGGTTGCGGGGGGCAGGGGGCAGGAGCCGGCCCCGCCCCGGGGCTCCCGTCCCTCTGGTGGTACCTCGTCTTCAGGGGCTGTTCACAGGTGTCTGCGTGGGTGACGCTGCTCTCCGAAGCACCTGGAGGAGCACACGGGAGCTAAGTGGCAGACCTGTGTGTGGCCGGGGCCCCCCCAGGGACACTTTCCTGGGACGCGCTATGCGTCCTGGGCTCCGTGGGGTGGGCATGTCTGAGTTTCAGTTACAGTGAAACGCCACTTCTCTGGCAAGGTCCGGAAGCTCACCATCAGTTTTTGAGTCAAATTTAGTGGAAAGTGAATTTATCAAAATAGGCAGACACCGTCTCGGTGTCCTATAGGGAAACACGCATCTGTCGGACCGTCAGAAGGGAGCGTGAGGGGTGTATCTTGAGGTAGAGGGAAACCCTGACAGGATGAGAAGTGCCCCGCTCTTTCTGGGCGTCCAGAAGCGGCCCCACTGCCCCCGGCTGCCCCGTGCATCCTTCCACACTTTCTTCCTTGTAGCGTGTGTGCGGCAGTTCTGGTTGCAGGGTGGGCTGTGAGAACGCGCCGGGTGGGAGAGCGCATGGGCCGTGAGGAATGACGGGCCAGTGTCCGCAGCTGGGGGTCCCTGGGGGCTGGAGTGGACTTTGGCGAGGGCAGGCGCCCTGGCGGAGCAGACACACGGCACGTGGCTGTGCTCAGGGACGCTGTCTCCGCGTGCAGAAGCCACAAGAAAGTAACGTTGGGGAATTTGGAGAGACGATGAAGGCTACATTTATAAATTGGAAGTGTCTAGTGGGACAGACCAGTAAATATCGTCGTGATGGTTCACGTGGAATGAAACCTCGGGGACTCCCAGGGCGGCAGTTTGGGTCGCCAGAGATGTCCTTGGTGACCAGCCGCCCTTGGCCTCCATGAGTGTGTTCAGTATGTGCCCCTCCCTGCTCACACACACGCCCTTTCGGGGCGCACGTCTGCTCTGAAAGCCCCTTTCTGTGACGTTTCTTGGTGAGACCGGCTTGTGGAGAGCAGAGTGGCCAGTCTGGTGGCGGAGGCGCAGCCTACACCCCCCGCCCCAGAGGTGACACTGGTGACAACCTCACGTCCCCAGCCTTCCCTGTCTCCAGCCTCTGCACGAGCCAGGTGACGCATTTTCAGTTGTAGTTTCTCTGTTTTGCTTTTAGTTTTTGGGGAGAAAAGGTAATTTACACTGACCACCCTGACACAGGCTGGGCCCCGTGCTGGGCTTCCTGGCTCGCGGTCTTGGGCCAGGTGCACCATCTCACTTCCCTTGGCGCTCGGTCCGCTGCCCTGGGGGCTGTTGTCTGGGGCTCCACCTCTGTGGGGTCTTGTTGCCTTCTGGGGGACGTGAGGACCATCTCTGCAGAGCCTGTGGTCACCTTGGGCTCATTTGGACTCTCACAGCCTCAGCTGGTTCTGGGTGGTGCTGCCCAGACAACTTCCCTCGGGACGGCGACGGCTGTTCAGACGGGGACACCTCAGCGAACGGTCCCAGGGGCCACTACCACCTCCACAGCTGCCACGGTGAGTCCCCCCCCCCCCCCCGCGCCCCAGGGGTGGGAGAGAGGCTCGTGGAGGTGTCCTGCTGCCCTCACCTGCCCGCACACCCACCCGCCCACAGCCTCCCTTCCTCCGGGGCCTGGAGACCTTGGCCTCTCAGGTGGGGTGTGAGAGCAGCGGCCTCTGAGGGGCGGCGGGAAGACCCTGTCGCCCGCTGGGCTTTCAGGCTGCACAGGAGTTCACTGTGACAGGAGCCCAGACAGTGGCCTTTGAGGACGGGGCCCGTGTCTGTGGAGCAGCGCCACACCCCCGTTCTTCACACAGTAGCTTCCTGTGCACATGCGCATCTCGCAGCCCCGGGATCGCACTTGGTTTGGACTCTGCTCTCTCGTCTTGTTGCTCAGGGCTTTCCCTCATCTTCAGTAGCTATGTCATAATTTAATTCCTCTTACTGTGCACTTAAATAGACGTGAGCTTTTCTCCATGATAAAGCAACGTTATGCTGAACATCTTACGGGTTCCTCTGGGTTCCATTCGTGGCTGTTCACCCAGTGACGTTCCTGAGAGTCGAGCTGCTGGCTGGGTGAGGGGCGGACTTCGCTGCCCTCAGCTGGCATGTTTACTCCATCAGCAGCCCGTGAGAGTTACTGCGTTTTCTGGAAAGAACATTAGGGGATAAATACAGTCTTCTTATATACAGACGCGCATTTCACTTAACCCTGGCCCTGTGATGGAAATCTGTCTTAACGCTTTTTCACTTGTATCTTCTTAACTTGAATCCAGGAAACCATGGAAAACGTGAAGAAATGTAAAAATTTCCTGTCTACGTTAATAAAGCTGGCTTCATCTGGTAAACAGTCCACAGAGACAGCTGCTAATGTGAAAGAACTAGTACAGAGCCTACTGGTAAGAGTGCGGCCCTGAGCCCCTTGGCCTGAGAGCGTCTGTGGGACACACGGGGGGCCGCCGAGCAGGGCAAGTCCTGTCGCAGGTGTGTGTGGCCCAGCCGGGCGCTCGGCCCGGGCTGGCCGTCTGGGGGCTTCACAGAGAGGCTGCCACGGGGGCCAGTGCCCTGCGCCCTGACCCTTTGTGGCCTCACCACTTGCCAGCCTGGCCCGCTTCCCGGGGCGTCCCGTTGATGGCCACTGGAAAGTGTCCCGTCGGCCTCAGGAGCATTTTTAAACACCTGACAGGGCGTTTTACAGGCTTTCTCTCAGGTCTCTGCTTTACCTTCTGTAACGGGAGAGTTTCAGACCTGTCAGAAGCGGAAGGCAGAGTCTGGTGAAGCCCTGTGTCCTGTCTCTGCGCTTCCCCAGTGACCGAGTCACACCTGATCTGGCTGCTGCACCCCCCCCCCCCCCCGTCCCATACATATTGCGGCACGGAAGGGCACTTGTTAGAGATCACCACCGCACGTGATCAGCCTGCCAGCCCAGGGACCCTGGGGCTCTTGAGAGCCTGGTCGCCACACGTGGTACCGGCGCCTCCCCTGCTGCTTACAGCTTGTTCCAGCCACAGGGCTCTGTCAACTGCGGGCACTGCGGTTGATCCTTGGTCTCCTTTGGCCGGATGGTCCCTCCTTGCTCTTCTCTTTCCCTTTGAAATCTGTCTTGAGGAAACCTGGTGGTTTGATGTCTGGGCTTTTGGATGCTTTCTGTCTTTCTGCTGCTGGGGTTTTTCGGCTCAGGTTCTTGGCTCCCTGTGCCTGCCTTCCTGGTGCAGCCAGCTGGGAGTGGGTGGCAGAGGGGAGGCCCTCGGCCCCGGGGTGACAGCCTGAGGGACAGTCCTTCTCAGAGACGCCGCATCCTCCTCCGAGGGGCTGGCTCTGTGCCCCGCATGCAGCCCACGCTGGTTTTGGTCTAGAAGGAAAGAGGTTGTGCTCCCGCAAGCAAGTGATTGTTTCAGACCATATACTTAAATATTTTCAGGGAACTTAGAGATTGAAAAATGATCTTATCTCCCATGAGAAATATGAACTCCTGGCTTTTTGTTTGTTTTAATTGTAACAATTCTACCTTCTGATGAAAATTTCTAATGAAATAAATGTTTCTCTTTTTCATCCCCACAGTCCCTTGTCTGTGGCTCCCCCCCCCACCCCCGCCCTGCCAAGGGAGCTGGCTGGCTCTCTCCATCCCTTGCTTCCCAGATGGTCCAGCACTGCACCCCCATCTCCCCGCTGTGCTCCTGTCAGGGGGCCAGGACCCCCGCTCCACCCTTCTCATGGGACCTCTTGGCTTTCTGGACCCTGCTGGCTGCTCCCTCTTTGAATTTAGCATTAGCTAGCTCCGGGTTTGGCTGCTGGTGATATGCTGACGCCAAGGCCACAGGTCCAGCAGAGGCTCATGTTCTCCTGTGGGGACCCCAGGTGTCGGCCTCATCTCGAGGATGGCCCGTGATGTCCCATCCCTACCCACCTCTCTTTGCCTCCTGCCCTCAGACCACACTTGCTTTGGTTTCCAGAACAGAGTCATGCCCCCTCCTGTCTGGGCACTCGCTTTCCTCCGTGCCCTGGGCTTCCTCCTGGAGGCTTGGTGTGGGTCTTTGTGTCTCCTGACTTCTGCTGTGTTGTCCCCTGTGTTCCACCTAAGACCTGGCACACAGGACACCAGCACATGCTGAACAGAGAGATTGTGTGTTCACGTCTATTCACGGGAGAATTTCGTTGTGATTTTTGTTTTTAAGGATGGAAAAATCGAAGCAGAAGATTTCACTAGTAGATTATACCGAGAACTTAATTCTTCACCTCAACCTTACCTTGTGCCTTTCCTGAAGGTAATTGTGAACCCCCCGTGCAGCCCTGTGCACTGGCAGGTTGCAGTAGGCCTGTCGGAGGGGAGGAGGGGCATGCGGGTGTCCCCGCCGGGCTTGAGGGCTGAAAGTGCCCTGTGATGCTCATTAAGGTTCTTGTCAGGAGGCTCTTCTGTGCCATGTGAGGCCCCTGACCCCACACCTGCGGAGGTGCAAGGAGGTGCTCACCAGCAGGAGGGCTGATGGGCGGGGCTCACCAGTGAGGAGCAGGGCTCAGGGGCATCAGGTCGGCCCTCTTGAGTAAGCTTTGCCGTCATGACATTCTTAAGAGCATTTCAGATCTACTGCTTTTCTCTTTCTCTTTTCTAAACAAATTTTATTTGGTTCTTACGGAGCATGATCCTGCTTGGTGATGTCGGGCTTGGGGGTCCGTGAGTGTCAGATGCCAGCACCAACATCAGGGCAGAGGCGTCAAGGCTCTAAAATTGGCCTGGTTGAGCTTGAGGCTTGTTTCTCGGAGTTGCAAGTTTCTGGGTTTGTGAGGAAGGAACCCAGTGCCCGAGCCGCCGCCGACCCCGTGTCTGTCTTTCCGCCCAGAGGAGCTTGCCCGCCTTGAGACAGCTGACCCCCGACTCCGCAGCCTTCATCCAGCAGAGCCAGCAGCAGCCGCCGCCCGCCTCGCAGGCCACCACCGCGCTCACGGCCGTGGTGCTGAGCAGCTCGGTCCAGCGCACAGCCGGGAAGACGGCAGCCACCGTGAGCAGCGCTCTCCAGCCCCCTGTCATCAGCCTCACGCAGCCCACACAGGTTGGCGTTGGCAAGCAGGGGCAGCCCACGCCGCTGGTATGAAGGCGAGAGCCTTGCCTGCCCTCCCCCCCACCCCCGCCTGCCTCTTAAACACACTGGCCACGGCGCAGGGAAGCCGCCTCCCAGTAGGCAGGAAATCTCCCGTCAGGGGAAGTGCGGGTGCTACCTGAGTAGTTCAGGCATGAAGTAGAGGCCGAGGCCCTGCAAGTTGGTGAGTGAGTTCTCAGGAAGATGAAATAAGCACGTTGGCTCTTAACCCACTGGTCTGTTACCCGTATCGTTTGCGGGTATTTGTGGCTTAAATGAACATGGTGTGTTTGTAGTGAATCTTTAGCAGGGTGTTACCTTTGATTAGGAGCATTGCCCCAAGACAGAAAACAGCGTGTGCCTGGTGATGGTGCATCAGGCAGAGGGTGCTAGGCCTTTTGTCTCGCGGCCTCGAACCCAGCTCTGCATCCGCTCTTTGGGCCTCAGTGAGATAAAGCTACATGTTACTGACGGCTGATTTACCGTGTGGGTCCAGTTTTCTGAGTTCTGTAGCTGGAAAAGGGAGGTCTTTGCTGGGAAGAGTTGCATTTTAAATGTGCTGGGCAGCTGGGCTCCCCAAACGTAGAAAGGTAGTTGACTTTTTTTTTTTTTTTTAAACTTTCAAGGGGATTTAGTTCCTCTACAGTTAAAAAACCTGCACAGCTCAGGCTCCCTTGTCACTTGATAGTGGGCTGTAGAATGTATCTTACTGTAGTGGCCACTTAAGAACAGAGTGAGCGACCAGAGTCCGTTAGGCTGTTTGCCCACTTGCTCGCGTGAAAGCCTCTGTCTTTGCATTGACTGGTGGATGAGAGCATCTCACCTGCGGGGCTGGGAACTTCGGTGCGGGGCATGGGGCCGGGCGAAGGTGTGCGTGAGAAGTCAGGGCTCCCTCACGTCTTTTTCACACCGAGGGGAAGAGATTTTTAAGTACAGGACTGCCCTCACCACTGGGGCTAATTTACGTAAAAGGTGCGGTCTCTCGGTGGGTGGTCGTCTTTCCTTGAAAGGTGAGTCTTAGGGCGTGGTTGTGAACGACCTGACCTGTGTTTGTGGTTTATGGTCAGAGGCTGTCCTGATCAGCAGGGTTGCTTCTACATTCCGCTTCCCTGGTCCTGCCAGACGTGCTGTGCCTGTTTGGGGGGATAGCAGTGTGGTCAGGCCCGAACCTGGCCCATTCCCTGCCTCGAAGCCTGTAGAGACGCAAACGGGAGGCTTTTCCCTGAGTTTATGGCAAAACCTGACACGCACATCTTGAGGCCATAGCTGTCTTGACTCTCCTTTATGGTGTGAGTTTTCGTAGGTTTGTTGCCGAGATAGTTTGGTTGCAGGGCACTGCCCCGTCCCCTCAGTGAGTGTCCCGTAGTCCAGGGCATACGCAGCAGGTCACCTTTGTAACATTTAGAAACAATTGTTTCTCTGGCCCCAGAGGTTTTGGGCCAGGCGGTGTCTCCCCAGCTCGGGGAGTGCTGCTTGTGCAGGACGCAGCACTAGGCCGGGCGCAGGGCCTTACACGGCTGGCACCTTGAGCAGGGCAGAGGTGGGAGCGCACTCCAGCTGACAGGGCTCCAGGCAGGGCGGTGCCGCGCCGCGCAGGCCTGGGATAAGGGGTAGCAGGGACATGGCCGGGGCTAGACTCTGCTCTGAGGGCGTCTCCCCGAGCGCAGCCTCGGGTGGTGAGTGCGGGCAGGTCCCCATGGAGAGGTGGTCTGAGAAGCTCTTCCTTGACTGCGGAATTCAGGGCAGGACTTGGGAAATCTGACCTCCCCCTGGTGTAAAAGGCAGCGCACTTCTTAGAGACGGATGTGGAGAAAACGTGCCCTGCAGCCCCCAGCAGTGGTATCCCCTGCGCTGAGATTTGTGGGGGAAGGCGTATTCCATGCTGGACTACTGAGTCAGCCTGCCTCCTCCCTGCAATGACCTCAGGACCTCAGGCCCCATGTGCAGATCTGCCTCAAGAACTTGCCTCTCGTGTGGCGCCTGACGCGGGTGTGCCGGTCCTGGCGGGGCCCTGGCCGGGGACGGGTGCTGGCGGCCCTGGGGGAGTTGTGTTGATGGGCCGGCGGCTCTGCCTCAGGTGATCCAGCAGCCGCCCAAGCCCGGAGCGCTGATCCGCCCGCCCCAGGTGACGCTGACGCAGACACCCATGGTCGCGCTCCGGCAGCCTCATAGCCGCATCGTGCTCACCGCGCCCCAGCAGATCCAGCTGAACCAGCTGCAGCCAGGTGAGGGCCCCCCGTTTGGTGCCGTTACCTGCACGTGGAGCCCTGAGCGGCCATCACCTCCTGGCCTCGGTCGGGGGGGGGGGGCGTCCAGAGTCAGATACGGTTAGCGCTGCTGGCTTATGTCCCAAGCCTCTCCTGCACTTGAAAAAGCGTGATGAGTTTCAGGAGAGTAAGTGCTTGAGAGGCTGTTCTGTGGCCTATGATTTCGGTCGGGAGTCCGGCGTTTTTACCGGCTTTGTCGTGGCCGGTGAGCGGTGATGCCCTCCCCTCCGGCCAGCAGGGTCCGGAGCAGCGGTGGTGCCTCCCAGCAGAGCCTGCGGTGGCTTCTGCAGAGTGTGCCCCAGCGTGTTGGTGGGTATACCGTTGGTGTCTTGTGTTGCAGTCCCTGTGGTGAAGCCCGCTGTGCTACCTGGAACCAAAGCTCTCTCTGCCGTCTCGGCTCAAGCAGCTGCTGCGCAGAAAAACAAACTCAAGGAGCCTGGGGGAGGCTCATTTCGGTAAGGAGTGGGCCTGCACACACTGAGCAGAGCGACCCCGGGGTGCATGGCGGGGCGGGAGCCTGTGTCCCGGGGCCGGCCTTGCCTGAGTGGCACCAGCTGCTCTAATTTCGATACCGTATTCTTTCCATGCTTCATTTTGACCTTTGTGTACACGTTTTCCCACGGAGTTAGTATGGGGAGGTTTGCTGTGGACACGTAGCAGGAAGTAAACCAGTGTTCTTTGGCGTATGAACTAATAGAAAACCTGTCGCTGTGATGTTGCGCGTCAGTATTTTGAGTACATCACGGCTATAGAGCAGAACGCTTCACTTGCCCTTCTTTAACTTCCAGAAATGCTGTACTGTGGGCTCTTGATGAGCAGCCAGGCAAGGGGCTACGTGTCAGGGACACGCGGTACACAGGCTGTAGAGCTGACGTGGATAATGGGGAAGCAGCAGGAAAGGGCGTGTGTCTCGGGGGTTTTCACGGGGCTGCCCCCTCCCAGATGGCATCCCTGAAGCTGTTGGCTGGTGGAGCAGGGTTGGCGTGGGGAGGGTGCTGTGCCTGGGCGGTCTGGCACGGAGGGCCAGCCCCCGGTGGGGCGGGAAGGGGGTCCGCCTGCAGGTCAGAGAAGTAAGAGAGCAGAGGCCGCTGGGAACCCTGCTGTCTTCCTGCAGGGGCAGGGAGTTAGGGCGGTCTCTGCAGTGCTGTGCTAGCTCGGGGTTCAGCGTCTGGACACCGGGGGAAGGAGACAAAGCTCCTTGCCCTGGGCACTGGAGGCACCTGGGGTGGTGGCGAGCACACCCAGCGCTCAGACCATGTCTTCTGAGAGCCGTTCTGTTCTCATGATCCAGACACCTTAGAAGGGCTGGCTCTGGGGTCTCTGCAGTGTGAGCTGGTGCATCTTGTTAGGTCAGAAAGCAGTGCTGGGGTGGATGGGCACGCGGTGGAGCTGACAGAAGTCGCCTGGAAGGGCGTCCTTTCCCCCGCCTGTGTGTGTAGTGACAGACTGCTACCCGCTGAGATGGGAAAGCACGAGTCCATGGGAACGAATAAACGGGAAGCTTAGGGGAAAAGGGGAAACCAGCAGGGACCCCCGAGGGTTGGAGCTCGGAGCTCATCAGGAAGGGACCAAGGAAACCCAGCCTGTGTGGGGCTGTGGGACATTCCTGTCATGAGGGGAGGGGACATCAGTCAAATGGGGACACAGACGTGCTGCAAGACGCCTGGCCTGTGGCCTTGCAGGTGTCACGGGCACGAGAGCCAAGGAAAGGCTGAAGAATGTTCCAGGCTAAGGAGGCTGAAGAGCCACGCGGAGGGGCTGTGAGCGTGGCTGGCAGCCTGCTCTGCAGAGGTCGCCCGGCTGCTCCGTAGGGGACGCCCTTGGGCGCAGGGAGCACACATGGGGTGTTCAGGGTGGGGCGCGGGGAGTCAGGTTGGCAGCTTCCCTGCAGGTGATTCGGGAAGAAGAGAGCCCTGCACCCCGTATTCCCGCTTTTCCATAACTGTGACTGTTTTACGAATAAATTAATGCTCTTTGATTTTTTAAGAAAGGTTTCACTTGGAAGAAACTCCTGGGAGCTGTGAGGACAGTGTTGCTGGGTTTTGCTCCCTCAACTTAGTCCTGCCTGGGGAGCCCTCTGCACATGTCCTCATGCCAGAACTTGTGCGGCTTTAACTCCTGGCGGGTCTTCCTTTAAAAGAACAGTTTCAGAGAAGATCGCTAGGCCTCCTTGTTCCGGGGACAGCGCAGTGCAGGCGGGAGCTGCTGGGACGCATGCCTGGAGGGGCGTCCGCATGCTTTCTACCACAGGGTCCCACTAGGTTATGCCCCCCGAGTACACCTCCTGACGTGCCCCTTGCTCAGTCAGCATTGTCTTCTCTGAAGGGATGACGATGACATCAATGATGTGGCCTCGATGGCGGGAGTAAACCTGTCGGAAGAAAGTGCACGAATATTAGCCACGAACTCTGAATTAGTGGGCACCCTGACACGGTCCTGTAAGGACGAAACCTTCCTCTTACCAGCGCCTTTACAAAGAAGAATCTTAGAAATAGGTATGTGGGCGCGCTGTGGCCGTCCCCCGACCTCTGGTGTGCCCGCGTGGCTGTAGTCCTCCGTGGAGCTGCCCTCTGCTGATGGCTCCCTGGCGGGGCACGTAGGCCCCAGCGAACATGCCTGGTGCCTTGTTCCCCCTTTTGCCCATGTCCTACGTGGTTGATGCCAGTGGTTCTCAGGTAGTGGCAGTGATGTAGACCACCCCCTCCCACCCAGAGGGCCTGCTTGGGCTGCCCTCACGTTGCTCTGAGCAGTGGACGAGAGAACAGCGACGTTTGTAAAGTGTTGCCTACCCCCAGGTAAAAAACACGGCATCACGGAGTTGCATCCAGACGTAGTGAGTTATGTATCCCACGCCACCCAGCAGAGGCTACAGAACCTTGTAGAAAAAATATCAGAAACGGCTCAGCAGAAGAACTTCTCTTACAAGGTAACACGCTGTTCTCCTGAAGAGGCCGCGCTTGCCGTGGACTCAAAGTCAGCACTGCTGGGAAGCCTCTTCCCGCACCAGGCGTGGGGGGGCGGCACGGGAATGCTTCTTGGAACTACATTTTGGGGGGAGATGCCGCCTCTCTTAGCCCACGGTGGTCTCGGGCGCTGTGTGCCCTGGCTGGGGAAGGAAGCCTGGCTTGCATGAGGATGCACGGCAGGGGTCTAGCCTGGGTTGGGGCTGGGGCAGACGTGGCTTGTCCAGCCTTGGAGGTCGCAGAGCCTCTGCCAGTTCTACCCTGTGCCCCTGCGGCCTCGAGCTAGCCCTGCAGACCGAGTGGCTCTGGTTCACACCTGCTGCTGTGACTCGGACCACTGTCCTGTTTTGTGGAGGGTCCAGGGGGTCGGCTGCGGGGCCGGGTCCGCCTTCCTCTTCCCTCCCTCACACGAGTACAAGTCGGAGGGGCCCAACTGAGTGAGGCTGGTGCTGTTGGAGTGGCAGTTAAAGAATCAAATGATACCGACGTGTGTAAGGTGGAAACCCCCCTGAGCCCTAGCACAGCTCTCCTGACACTCACTTGTCTGCGTGTTAACACGCAGGCCGTCTGGGGACGAGGGGTTGGGTGCGTGGAGGTTCTGTAGGACTTGCTTTGGGAGGTGGGCTGGTGTGTAGCCTGCTCAACCCAGTCCTCAAATTTATGACCATGTTTTTTTACCTTTTTGTAGGATGACGACAGATACGAGCAGGCAAGTGATGTCCGGGCTCAGCTCAAATTTTTTGAGCAGCTCGACCAAATTGAAAAGCAGAGGAAAGATGAGCAGGAGAGAGAAATCCTTATGCGAGCGGCCAAGGCAAGTACCTGCACCTCACTGGGCAGGGCTGTTCCCTGCCCTGGGCACCCGCGCACATGCGGGGCTCCGGGAGGCCAGCGTGGTGTTGGGGGGCTGGCCCTGCAGAAAATGTGATGTGTGTGATTTAGGAGGGGGCCGCGGGTGGGATGTGGACCTGAGTCCAGGTCCCTGCGGGCCGTCCTGGCACACCATCTGTCAGGTTCCTGTGCCTGGTGGGCATGGTGATGACCGCCTCTGTGCTCTTCTCCAGTGGGATTGATTTTCTTAAGAATAATGGTTGTTTTTTCCCATGACGTGCAGGCTGAATTTTCATCTTCTGGCTGTAAATAAGCATTTAAAAATGTAGTATACGTTCTGTTGTATGATCTGGATATTATATTGTGAATAAGATAGCATGTTTGTTAGATGATAGACATTTAGATCATAATTTGTTTTTGTTTTTACTTTAAAAAATAGTCTCGATCCAGACAAGAAGATCCAGAACAATTAAGGTTGAAACAGAAGGCAAAAGAGGTAAGCTCTTTTAGTAAAAAAATCTTTACTATATGCTTGGAATATGCTTGGAAATAGATTCTTTTTTTTTTTTTTTAAAGATTTTATTTATTTGACAGAGAGAGACGGAGAGGGAATAGGTTCTTATGTAACCTAATTGTCCAGCCAAAGAAAGGGGAAGAAAGGTGGCATTTCTGTGACAAAGCGATAGATGTTTGCAGAGGTGTGGACACTGTGTCCTCCTCAGGGTGACAGTAATTTCTCATTGCGTGCCTTTAGCCTTTACACGTACACAGTTTGTTGTATTTTCTGAGCTTCTCAAGATGAGCATCTGTTTTGGTTTATGATTTTTCTGATTGTAGGATAAGCTTAACCGTTATAGTCAAAACAGTGAAGAAATTTTAATTTAGACAATTTCCAAAGATCCTTTGCTGTTACTTTTGTAGTAAAAGGTAACATGCAGGAAATGACAGTCTCGTTTCTCTTTTAAAACGAAGATGCAGCAACAAGAGCTGGCTCAGATGCGGCAGCGTGATGCCAACCTCACCGCCCTCGCCGCCATCGGGCCCAGGAAAAAGAGGAAAGTGGACTCCCCAGGACCGGGCTCGGGGACAGAGGTACGCAGCGCAGCAGCGCTCGAGGGCATGCGGGGCCTGGGAGCACCTCTTGGCTCAGCTCCAGGTGGGCGGACACACCCGAGGACCGGCATTCTTGCGTTTACATGTGGCTCTCCTTTGGAATATTTGTACGACATTCACGTGGGCTTGTCATGGAGATGCCGTGAGCTGGCGGTTCTGTCCGAGAGGAGGTTTGCTGGCCGGGGTAGGGTGCCGCGAGGTTGGACCGCCGGTGGAGGGAGCGCAGGCAGACTCTGTTGGAAGGGTGGCCTGGAGCAGCACGCGTGACGCAGGCCTGGAGGAAGGAAAGGGGCCCTTGCCCATTTCTGTTTGTCTGATTTTGTTAGTTTCTTGTTTTGTTCGTTGTGATATCTTTACCTAGTTACAAACCCAACCTTAGGATGTTGTTACTTTTGCTTAGATTGTCACTAATTTTTTAAGTAAATTATGAGAAGAAAGCACACTTGGCCTTTCCCACTGACACGAGGTCACGGCTTCCGGCGGTGCGGTGCTGGTCCGGGCTTGCACTAGCAGCGTTTCCCTTGGCCTGAAGGGCAGCACCCAGCGTTTCTTGTGTGGTACGCTGATGATGGGTTCTCTTGACTTCTGTTTACTCGAAAGGGCCAGTGTTTCTCCTTCAATTTCGAATATTTTCCCTGAATATAAAATTCTGGGTTGACAGTGTTTTTCTCATTTAAGATTTCTCTCTCTCTTTTTTTTTTTTGAAGATTTTATTTATTTATTTTTTATTTGACAGAGAGAGACACAGCGAGAGAGGGAACACAAGCAGGGGGAGTGGGAGAGGGAGAAGCAGTCTTCCCGCCGAGCAGAGAGCCTGATGTGGGGCTCGATCCCAGGATCCTGGGACCCTGACCTGAGCCGAAGGCAGACGCTTAACGACCGAGCCACCCAGGCGCCCCTAAGATTTATTTTCTTCTACGTTGTTGGATAAGCTGAGTGTATCCAGATAGATGGCATTTAATTTTTGGGAAGGACACACTAAGGATATGTGCGCCCAAGGACTGGGCACCCTTCATACTCTGCACTTTCTCGCCTGTTCCCTGGGCCCCTCTGTCTTACCCCTGACGTCTTTCACTTCTCCAAGGACACTCCCACTTGAATGCTGGGCTGTCTTGTTCCAGATCACAAAAAAGGTGGGAGGTTTCCCAGCGTGTTTCCCAAAATTGCAAAACTCTTATTCTTAAATCTGAGAAATAGTTGTAATATCTGTTTGACCATCATTTTCCTGTGAAAGGGGCAGCTCTGTTGTCTTCCTGGCCCCACTGAGGTTTACGCTTGTGCCCTGCACCTGCTGTTTCTCCCTTCTCTGGCTGCTTTGAGATTATCTTCTCAATTTCTAGAAGTTTGTCTGGATTGTGTTTGGACTGGGTTCTCTTGACATTTAGCCTGCTCGGGGTTCTTTGATGTGTAGGTCAGTGTTTTTCCTCAAATTTGGGACATTATGGCCTTTATTTCTTCAAAAATTTTTTTCCTGCTGCAGTCTGTTTTTTCTGAGTGGGGTTTCCAATTACACGTATGTTGGACCTGATGATGTTGCCCTTGGGTCTCTGACACTGTTCAGTTTTCTTTCATTTTTCTTCTCTGTGTCCTCACAAGGACAGTCTCTCCTCGTATAAATCTTCAGACCCCCTGACCACACGGGGTTGTGTCGTTGGCAGAGGCAGCCGTGAAGCCGCCCAGTGAAGCTCTCACTCGCTGGTGTGTTTGTGACTCCAGGTGTCTAGTCGGTCTCTCTTAGGTTTTCTGACTCTGCTAAGATTCCTTGTCTGCTCACATATTGAGAGCACATCTCCTGGGGCATCATGCCTTTGGCCTGTGTTTAAAAGCTGATTTAGTGCATTTTCGAGGCCAGCATCTGGGCTGCCTCAGCGTCAGTCTCTGGTCCCTGCTTTTCTCCCCAGCGGTGGGTCTCGTGTTCCTGTTTCTTTGCATGTCTAGTGATTGTTGCTCAATGCTGGATATTGTGGAGGACAGGAGGAGAGACCAGCTTTGTCTTCTTCTCAAGAGTGCTGGTTTTTGTTTCAGCAGGCGGTATCTGGACTTGTATGCTTTGTTTTTCACTTTGGTGTTGGTGCCCCTGGGACCTGGTAGGAATCCCCTGCACACTCCGCCTTCCCTGTCCCCGTTTGGTCTTAGGCTTTGTCGGGGTGGCTTTTATTCTCGGGAGTAAGCTTTCCTCCCAGGGAAAGCTTTTATTTCCCCTCCCAGGGAAAGGCTTTTATTCTCGGCTGGGTGGGCTGGGTGGGCTGGGTGCCAGGGTGGGAGCAGGGTCTTTCTCCTCGGGTGGGCTGGGCTGCGACGTGGCCCATCGTAGCCTGCACACATTCTTCACTCACCGCTGAGGTCGTGCGTGGTCTAGCTGTCACGTCTTTGCCTCTGTCCCTTTCACCCTCCCTCGGCGTTCTTTCCTTGAGTGGCTGTGTATTTAGCACTGGTGGTGTCTGTGCAGTCCTTTTGGTTTTCTGAGTCTCATTCTCTGCCACAGTCTTCGGGAGGGTTTGTGGGGACAACATCCCCAAGTTCTTACACGCGGATGACAGTTTGTGTCCTGTGTACCTAAAGATCTGTGTCAATGGCCTTGAAATCCTTGGCTCCCATTTTCTTTACTCGAGAACCATAACTGTTTTACCTTGGGTATTTATTCCTGGCATGAAGTGTTGCTCTTCAAGCCTGATGATGGTCTAATTTTATTTTTCTTGTATATCATGCGTTCTTTTTGCCCAAAGGATTTTTTTTTTTTTTTTAAGAGTCTTTAATTTTACTTGGAATTGGTTATCCTGGGTTGAGTCCCTCCAACAGCAGTTTGAGGTGTGCTTTTATTTGGGAAAACCTTCTCTCCTGTTGGGTTTACCTGGCTTCCTCTTTGGGGCTCCCAGCTGTGGGACGTTGTGCTGACTTTGCCGTCGGCATCCGTGCTTCCCTCCAAGCCGCTCCTGCCTCAGGGGGCCTCTCTCGGGCGCGAGGCTCTGCTCTTGTGCTCTGGCCTTCGTTCCTCAGTCCCCTTTCTCATTTTTCCTGACTCTGGCACCTCCTCAGTTCTGCGGATTCCAGCTTATGTTGTTTTCTCATGACGGCTACCATTTTCTTAATATGTTTTAAGTTGTTTTATGGTAGAACAGTACAGTTCCGGTCTGTTTTTTTAATACGCATTCACGGTGTTTCCCGTTGTCTGTTGGGATGTCATTCATCCTCCTTACCTTCTTTTTCCTAGTACTGACTCGTGTGGGATTTGGTCTTAGTGCTCTCCTGTTCTCCTTTCATGTGAATTTAGTTTTCTTGAACTTTTAAGAGGAGGAGGTGTCTGAGGTTGTCTGTGAACCACTCGGAGCCCCTCTGACGTGGTCTTTGTGTGGTGATGGAGGCGCGGCTGCTTGTCTCTCAGGCCCACGGCACTGCTCCCCTCCCCGCTGTGTTCCCAGACTGCCCTTGGTCTCCACTGCCTCTGTCCCGCTAGCCTTCGATATCCCGCCTCACAGTCTTGTCTGCGTGAGGCCCTCAGCCGCTGCCTGCCTTTCTGAAGGCCTGCTGGCTCCTGGGGTTTCCAGGCCTGGTGGTGCCTGTTGATGTTTCTCTAGCTTGTCCTGCACGGTTTTGTGGTACCATTCAGGCTTGTGGCTGCCTGAGGCTTATCTCCGCTGACTTTGCTCTAAGTACCGTCTTCTTGTTTTAGGTTTTGTCGTCTGGTTGTGTAAGTCTTACGTGGGCCTTTGGGAAGATCAAGAAACTGCTGCCCCTGTTGCTGCCTTCCCAGAATGTAGTGATTTACTTTAAAAAATACAGCCTTTTTTAATTGAAAATAGTTTCAACCTGCAGAGAGGTTGGAGGAGTAGCACACAGAACTCCATTAGTTTAGATTCTTGGTTCTGAACGTTGCATCCCATGCACCTCATCACGGTGTCTCACGTGTGCGTGCGTGGGAGTGTGTGTACTACGCGTATGTACCGTACATAGTCTTCCTGTGATGGGATGTCCTGCACACCCGAAGGTCGGCACTGTGAGGCACTGTCTGGCACGATGCCCCACAGCCTCCCAGGCAGGAAGTCCTTTCCCCCCACCTGCTCCCACCTCGCCTGCAGCCCGGCAGCATCTTTGGCTCCCAGCAGGGATGTGTGGGGCATCCGGCTGGCACGCCGCATGATTCTGTCTGAATGTGCCCGTTCTGGACAGTGCTGAAGAGGATGGGATTGTGTGTGTAGGTGACCCTCCGGCTGGGTCTGGTGACTGGCAGAGACGCCTCCGTCTCGGTGGGTACCCTGTTGTTGAGTCCGTACATCAGGAGGCCTGCGTGTGGGGACCTTCCTGCTGACCCGCACCATGGTCACAGCTTCACTCGGCTCAGCCACGTTCTCCAGGGTCGTCTCTGTGGTTCCGCCAGCGTTTGTTGGCATTTAGTAAGGAGATGTTCCAGGATTATGCAGATGCTGCCCCTCCTCCAGCCTCAGCATCCGTTGCTGACGCCCGCCAGCCTCCACGGCCACTGTCAGAGGTGCCAGTGGTGCCTTCTGCGTTTGCTAGTTGTCTTCTGCGTACGAAGAGCTCTCCCTCCTCCGTCCATCCGTTTGTTGGCTCACCACAGTGGCAGGGACCATGGACACCTGTTGTGTTCAGTGGGTTGTAATCAATACTCTCATTATTTCTAGATGTGGGCAGTGGAAGCTCCTTCAAGCTGGTTTTTATATCCTTTTGAAGTGTCTCCCTCGTTGTTGAAAGCATCCTGGTCTGACTGGCATGAGTGGCGTCCCGGAGCCTCTGGTGCTTCCCTGCCCCTCCAGCACTTTGCCAGGAACCTGGTTCCCTTCGGGGAGGGGGGGATGGCGTGTGGAAGCCGGGCTCTGAGCTCTGTGTGTGCTGGATGCTGTGGGACTCCCTGTTTCCAGGCCCTGGGGGCGCTCGTGCAAGTACAGGTGCGCACGCGTGCGTTACCACCCTTCCTGCGTCCAAGACAGCCCTCTGCACTCCTGTCAATTCTCTGGTGGTAG